TGCGCGCGGCTTCCCATCTGGGGCTCTATCGCGAATGTGTTCTGCTGGCACTGTCACAAATGGCTTCCAAATCGTCAAGGTTTCTCCAGAACTACGGTGAATATTTACATATAAATGTGTGATTATGTGTTCAATTTCCAATTTCTTGTTTTTTGGTGATGTTTTTCAATTTGTGTTCCATGAACGTGAAATGATGACGGTAGGATACGACTTGATTTTGGGATCGATAGCTGCGTTTTATGTCTTCATGGCGCCATACACGAAGGTTGAAGAGAGCTTCAACGTTCAGGTGTTTTTCTACTTTATATTTGATTGTCCATATTCTGAGTTTTGACAGTTCTATTTTAGTCTTAGTTTCTTCTCCTACTGATTGGCTTCGCTTTTTTTGCCTGACATTTTGCTAATCTAGGCAATGCACGATATTCTTTATCATGGTCATCATTTAGATAATGTAAGTTACTTGCCTAAATTGTTTTACGTATTATTATATCCGAATTTACTCGTGAGATGACCTTTTTGGATGTTTGGATGCTTGTTCTTTTGTCAGTATGATCATTTGGAGTTTCCTGGTGTGGTTCCTCGAACTTTTATAGGTACTTTCGTCCTATCGCTTGAGTAGTTTGTGCTAATTCTGGTATCTTCTTTTGGTTTGGTGTGAAATTGTCACTATTTTTTTGCTTTCCATGAGGACATCTACGGGTGCTTGCTTATATGATATTGTTGAATTTTTAACTTGGTAACTAATTTTGGTTATAAATGTGTAAGTAGTACAGGCTTCCATAAATCCATGCTTGTGGCATTGATAATTATCAGGTAGCTTATCTTTCAGGTGCCTTCCTTGTATCAATTTTGGCATCCCCCATTGTGTTAATAGTTAGCTTGCTGCAGTTGCCGAAGATTTATGGGCTTATTACAGGTTGCTTTCTGTGTCTTTGTTAAACCACTAGCTTCTTCGTCTGAGTTGCATTTAATGTCTGGTTTCTATGGTTGCATCTTAAAAGATTTGTAACCCAAAAAAGTTGTTGCTTTGCAGTACGTTTGGCTCTTGGCTTCATTATATTATCCACACTTCGATTCTTTCGTATTCAGGTATCCAATTTGTTTTGTGATTTTATTCAGTTCACATTTGCAAAGTTTTATCATTTTAAAGCAAGAAATTATTATTCACGGTGATATTACATCCTTTTCACATGAATGATTGGGGAATCAAGGGAAGGGTTAGTACAGTCATCCATTGGCATTTCCACTATGGAGTTCTGGAAAGGGGCAGCTTACAATTTGAATTGTCAGTACTTCCCTTTCCATCTTGATATGTCCTCTTTTTTGGTACTTCTGTCTTGATGCGCTTTATCCATACTTTGGTGTTTCCTCTGCAAAGAATAATCAATGGTAACAAAGTATCTGGGTTTTTTGCCTTAGCATATGTGGAGGATAAGCCTTGGCTTTATTATGCAGACTGGAATTTGTTCTTTCAGCTGATTATTTCTCTTACAAGTACAGAGCATTTTTCATCTAAAAAAAAAATTTAAATTTGTGAACAACTTTTTTGAGAAGAAAAAATAAATGCAAACTTGTAAACAACTTGTTTATAGAAAAAAATAAAATGTGCAAAATTGTTTTGTCATGCTTAATGTGCTTAGTTTTCTATGATCAAAGTTTTAATCTGTAATTCAATATATTTGAGTTACTCAGTTGAAATTGCTTCTTGTTTGAACAGATAAGGCATAAGTTTGGGTATCAAGTGGAAGCTTTCTTTACAGTATTAACTGCTCTTCAGTTTCATTTGTTATACTATTGCACCCGAGGCCTTCCAAATATACTAGCTTTGGGCATAGGTGATTATTTTCCTTGTCCAAATCTGTTATATTTTGTTATAGTTGTCTATTTCAACCTTGTAAATGAAATACTTTCTTGATTCTGGATGTTTTAAATGGGAGTTTCTGGTTCCCTAATCAGTTACGATGTTAACCCTTAGAACATTTAATTTATCTGTGATTGAAGATTGTTTACTGATCAAGGTTGCACCATCCGTAGGGATTTCTGCTGGCTCTTTATTTTGTTTAATCATGCATATACAACTATGCTCCAGAGAATTCGAGATAAAGTGAAACAAAAAGTTATTTTGAATTGTAACTATTAGGCAAAAATTTTAGGAAAACATGGTAAGGTTCTCGGTCTCCTGCATTCCTGTCTTTCCTGCTGTAGGATTGCCACTGAAGACTGCATCCCTATAAATCTTTTGATTTTAATTTTGATAAAGAGAAAATATTACTTATAAACTTTTTGATTATCAAAACATTTGTTAGGAATTTTTATGGGCTTCTGTAAGGCTTGGGGAGTTTGGCATGTGATGTATGCCATTAACTTTATTTAGAGAATAGGTTCTTTCAGAAGGTTGCCTTTTCTAATAAATCACCTGAACTGTAACTTCTTTTCCTTAAAATTGATGGAAGTATCAATTTATCAGCTGACAATTTTGTTTCTCCTAATTTTGTGTAGTTAACTTGGCATATGGGCATTGGCTGAGGGGGGATTTTTATTCAGTGTTAAACTGGCTGGTATATCTTCATTAACTTTTGCAGTTTTTGTTTTGATCATTTTTGCACTTAAATTTTACTATTACTTTTCCATTTACCCATACTTTGCCCTTAATTATATAATTGTTTTTTTTTTCAGAGAGCTTATTATATAAAATGCAGACTCCGTTTGAGATCTTTTCTGATCTTTCTTCTTTCCCACGTGTTCAGATTTTTGCAACAATTATATTCAGATGTGATATTGTGTTACTACTTTGTCCTATTGGCCTAGAGCTTTTATTGGTATGTTGCTACTTTCCACCACATTAAGAAAATGGATTTGTTTCCTTGTAAAGTTGGAAATTATTATGTCATAATACCTTGTTATGTTATTACTGCACTTATTTGTAAATCTTGCATATAAATTTACCTTGATATTTTCTATTGTTGACTTGTGCACAAAATCTAGAGGGGCTATGTGTTAGATTACTGGGGTGTTTCTTTATTAGATTACAGAAATGACTTACAAGTATACTGAAATGAGTACCGGATAATACAAATATGCTGCATGATTGGACATCCATCTTCTTTTTTTCCTGATTAAGGATTAGATATCAACTTAATCCATGGTGAAGGCAAACTGGAAAACAGGTGAAAAAGAATTGCAAGACCAAGATGCCTAAGCTCCTGAATGCACCAGGAACCCACTGAATTGTGACGTTAATAATCCGGAATTAGTTATCCTATGAATTCAGATGTCTGTCAGTTAACAAACTAATAAAGAGCTAGCATTGGGCAATTTAAATTAGCTTCCGCAGGGGGCCAGCTAGGCATATTTGTGATACTTCTCAAGAAGAAAGTGAAATTCTATTTTTTTTTAATAATTTTCATGTTGGTTTCCTAATACGCGTGTTATGTTCTCAAGGCAGTTGAGTCCCACAGCCATCTTTTTTGCACGCGCTTAGAGGCTTTAATTTAGGCTTTTATATTTTTAGTTCATGTGGGTTGGCCTCCCCCTTGAGCCCTGCCCTGCCCCTTGAGTGTTGCCTTTCTATGTCCTTCAATGGAGTGGTTAGAAGAAGGAAGTTGGGTTGCTGCTGAGAGGAACTATATTTGCTGATTTGTGGGTGTTATGTTTGGCGTGTAATGTTAGATCTTTCGAGGATTGTTTTTTCAACCCATTTTTTCTATCTTCTTTTGGTATGTTTTTTTTACTGTGTTTTTTATAGAAAAAAAGTAATATGAAGAGAAGGAGAATACAAACAAAACAAGGGAGGATTAGCTGCCCTCCCACAAAAAGGAGAAACACCTCTTAAACGAGGAATGCTATCCTTCCTCTATGCAGCAAAGTAAAAGAGTAATCCTTGAAAGTGTCGATGCACCTTGGGGCAAAGAGAAGTCTTGTCCCAACGACTGCAAACGGGGAAGCTTGATTCCTGAAGATTCTTGTGTTCCTTTCCAACAAAATCACCTACACATTGGTAAAAGCGGCCCCTCTCCATGACCTCAAGCCTTCTAGAACTGTGAATGATTAATAAGACAAACTCCTCAAGATTACTAGGAATGACCCAGGCCAATTAGAAAATATCAAAAGTCAAAAAACACAACTTCAAGCTAAATTGCAATGCAAAAAAGAGGTGACTATGGTTAGCTGTAGTCTGATAACAGATAACATATACCCCTGGAGACAAAGTGCGATATGGTCTGCCAGTTTGGAGCAAGTTATTAGTATTCAACCTATCTAAGGCAACAATCCAAAAAAAGCCTTTGACCTTGGAGGGAGTTGGAACCTTCCAAAGACTTTCATAAAGTGCAGCATTATGAATGGAAGGATTACATGTTAAAAAAGCAAAGTACTTGTAAGTAAACATGCTTGAAGAGTCTAAAGACCACGCTCTACGATCTTGGGTCATAGAAAACATTTTAGTGCTCAAAAGTTGTACCAAAGAGGTCATACCTATATGCTGTATTAAAGTTTCAGAAAATGCATATTTCAAGATGAATTATCTGAAATATCTAGAAAAAGTGAATAGAGCAAAAGGATTTTGAGACAAGTTATATAATGATTTATTGAATGGGTAATGGGA